CTTTCACATAATCCAATTAATTTACACATATTGGGATTTTTGTTAGCAAAGACATGTACCAGAATGCATTTTGGCCTAAATTTATGACGAAAATTGTTTTTTAAAATTTTTTCACTGGATATGTTTAATAGCAAAAAGTCAAAAATATAGTTTTTTTTTTTTCAAAATTGTTGGTCTTTTTTTAAAAACCACAGAGGTGATTAAATACCACCAAAGAAATCTCTATTTGTGGGAAAAAAGGACATAAATGTAATTTAGGTGCAGCATTTCATGACGCCGCAATTGTCAGTTAAAGTAACGCAGAGCCGTATAGCAAAAAATGGCCTTCTCAGAAAGGGGGGTAAATCCTCTGAAGGGCAAGTGGTTAATAGCAAGGAAATTTCATGGACGGACTTACTGCACAGGTTACAACCTATCACGGTACCACGCTTGAGTTCACAGAGCTCCTGGGAGTGACCCATTCTTTCACAAATGTATGTAGAAGCAGTCTGCATCCCTAGGTGCTTAATTTTATTCATCTGTGGCCATGGACGCGTGTGTGTGTGTGTGTGTGTGTATATATATATATATATATATATATATATATATATATATCAGTGGCGGACTGTCAACTCATTGGGCACCCGGGCAATAGGAGATCATGGGGCCCATGAGGTGAAGAGTGGGGTGGAGGGATAGAGACAGAAGAGGAGAGGGGGGAGGGGGATGAGAGATAGGAATAGGAGGGAGGGAGAGAGAGAGGGATGGGGGAGATGGAAAAGTTGGAGAGAGATGGAGAAAGGGGAGGGGTGGAAGAGGGGGGGGGGATAAAGTGGGAGGTGAGAGAGGGGTTGAGTGGGTAAGATGGAGAGGGGTTCAAAGAGAGGTGGTGAGAAAGAGAGGAGTGAGGGGGATAAGATGGAGAGGGGGTGAAAGAGAGAGGGAGTGAGAGAGATGGAGGGAGGGGGGTGAGAGAGAGAAGAGGGGTGACAGGTCTGAGAGGGGGATGAGAGAGAGAAGGGAGATGATAGAGAGAGGGAAGGTGAGAGAGAGGGGAGGTGAGAGAGAAGGGGGGAAGAGAGAGAGAAGGGGGAGAGAGAGACAGGGGATGAGAGAGAGGGAAATAGAGGAGAAAAAGAGGAGGATGAGATAGAGGGGAGAAAGAGAGAGGGGACTGTGATAGTGCGGAAGGCAATCTGACAGTAACTGACACTGGCTGGGAGGTACAAAATCTGACTGACATTGATATCACCAGTGACACTAATACAGTGATCAGTGATAATACTATGCATCATCATTGTACCAATGACACTTGTTGGGAAGGGATTTCCATCTAGGGGTGATCAAAGGGTTAACTGTGTGCCTAACAATATGTAACGTGTGTGACTTTTTACTCCGTATCAGAAAACAGATCGTTCCCTCTGTACAGAGGGACAAACAACACAGGGCTCTGGGCTGTGATTGGACAGAGCTGATCAGCAGGTCTCAGTCATGAATCATTGGCTGAAACCTGCTGACAAAATCTCACTGTGTCTAATCACAGTGGAATTCAACCAGGGGGGTTTCCTGAAACCATAAACCACTGCCGACGCTGTACATGTATGCGATGGTGCCTGTACAAGCTGGCCACCCGCAGTAAAATGCGGACAGGTGGGCAGCAGGCAGTTATAGTTGCAAGATACGATTGTAAGTTATTGATTGCATCTCTGTTTCCGCCATGCAATGGAAATATGATCATATTCATGACCAACTCATATCAGAGCTCCTGGTCTATGCAAAACTAATGAAAATTTTCCTCATCAGCCAATTGACTCGGTTTAATCAAATCGGATCTAAATGGAGTCTAAATAGAGTAGAAGGGATGTCATAGCTGTAACACTATGGGGTTGATGTACTAAAGACAAATAAGCTGTGCTCTGCAAGTGTACTGAAAGTGCAGTTGCTCTAGATCTGAGGGGAACAAGCAAGGAAAATGTAAAAAAAAAGCATTTTTGGTTTCACATGATTGGATGAAAGGAATCAGCAGAGCTTCACCTCATTTTAAAGCTTCCCTCAGATGTAAAGCAACTGCACTTACAGTGCACAGTATATTTACCTTTAGTAAATCAACTCCTATGTGTTGTTACTGAGAATGCAGAACTTTATTCTTCCACAAGATGGCAGCATTCAGCAGTTTTACTTTCTGTAGCCTCAATACAGGTGTTCAGAGACTTCTGGGAATTGTAGACTGAAAGCAGAAGTGACAATAAACCACAGAGCCCATGAGAAATCACTAAGGGGTGGCAATATACAAAAGAAAAAGCCCTGGAAGACATAGGGGGAGTTGGAGAGAGACTTTGGAAGTGGAAGGAGTTTGTGAGAGTACATTCCAAGCCACCCTGTTCTGGACTGGACCAGGTTGGGCCAAAATGCACAAAGTAGCAGGGGAAGCTGAAAAGACGGCAGTTAAGCCAAACATCTTATGGAGAAGGTTGCTTCAGGGAGACCTTTCAGTTGTAGGAGTGTGTGAGCCACCGCAGCCGCATCCTCAGTTAAAGGCGCCCCCCCACCGCAGGACACCCATTGCTTCTCTGATTGTCGCATAAGGACTGGGTAAGAGGGTCGCTGACCCACACATCATTGTTACCAGTTACAGTTAGTTTGTTGAAAACCAGGTTTTTCAAGGTTATACATGTTTTTCATCATTGGCCTTTATTAGTGACAAATTCACCAGCTCCCTTTATTGCTGCAAACTGCCATCCCTTAACCACCATTAATAAATGGGAGTATCCTCCTGCGCTTTATATAGATAAAATCCCTATAATATCCATATAATAATAGCTGCTGTAGCTCGACTAAACCAATAAGTGATCAATGTGTTTACATAAATTAGTGAAGCGCTGTATATTTATTACCAATAAATAAATACTAAAGTGCCTATTATAACTAACTACTACATCTTTATAGTGAAAAATGTGCAATCTTAAAGTGAAATGGTGATGACAACCATACCATGTGCATATATAATCAATCAAAATATTATACACTGTATTATCATATAACTGTGAATCACAAAATTAGGAACACCATCTGTGAATAATCAATATAAAAAAACAAGTCCATGCAAGTGAAACTTCGTGAAAAAGTGATCTTCACTTCTAGTGCACAAATCCTCAAATGGCAGCAGTGCCTGCTCACCTCCCCACCCTGACCCACACAGGCCAAAAGGCTATTACTCTCCTCTGTATCAGATCCTCATATGTACATTGCTCATCCAGGGATCACAGGGAAAATGGAGACTTCTCTATTCCACTCCACCTCCACTCAGTATATAAGACACAAGAAAAATCCTTCCATAGTGCAATAATGTTTAATAAGGACAGCATAAAAGACAAAAATTGCACTCACATGTATTCCTTGTTACTTCAGCGTTTCACCCCATCCCATGGGTGTATTGCATGAAACCAGGGGGAACCAATATGGCCGCTGCGTCCGGACGTGCGTCACCACGTGACCGGAAATGACGTAACTTGAAACTGGATATGGCGTACCGACGCGTTGCGTCACGTGCGTCGTGACTTCATCAGGGTTCAACCCTGATGAAGCATATCCGGTTTCAAGTTACGTCATTTCCGGTCACGTGGTGACGCACGTCCGGAGTCTTGAAGTAAAAGATTTATTTTTCACACAACATTCGGGACTAATTTATGTTTTATGACACTTGAAAGTGGATATTATCATCCGGCTCTGCCTGAAGTATTCAGTTGCAATCGACCTATAATGTACTGTATATATAATTGACTTGAAAAAAAGATGGCTTTTTTTTTCAAAGTGGAGATTTACACTTGAAGCCCAACTTCAGCCCAAAAAATCTGAACAAATTGGGAATAGAGTGGGGAAGAGTTAAAACCTCCATTTTTATTGCTATTTGCATCACTATAGGGGAGATTATCTCCCCATACACACTTCAGCTCAGGACAGTAAGTGACGATAGATCTCCCCACCAGACAAAAACACATTTTAACATCTGGGGCGATCAAAGGGTTTACTGTGTGCTGTGTGGTTTACTGTGCACTGTTTTACTATGTATGCACACGACTTTGTATGGCTCTGCTTTGCAGAGCCATACAAAGCAGAGTGCTGGAGCTGACAGGGGAGAGATCTGTATTATTTACATACAGACCTCCCCCCCATCAGTGATGCTCGGCGATCACCGGGTGCCGGCGGGGGAATCGCTGGCCAGGACCTGGTGATCGACAGCTGAAGCCGCCATTGGAAATAAAAAATCACGTATATATATGTGATTTTGCACAGCCCTGCTGCCCTGTAGCAGTAGTTCTGCTATAGGGCAGTCGGGAAGCAGTTAACCTCTTCCTGCCCAGTGTTATTAGTGCAGTGACAGTGCTTTTTATTAGCACTGATCACAGAATTAGTGTCACTGGGGATGTCAGTGACAGTTAGTCAGTTGCCCTCCCAGTGTCAGAATACCTGCTGCAAACCCACAGTTCTGCTATAAGTCGCTCATTGCCACCATTACTAGTGTAAAGAAAAAAACGATTCCAGTATATATACTGCCATTTTGTAGACAATATTACTTGCACGTAAACCAATTAGTTACACGTATTGGGATTTTTTTTAGCAAAGACATGTAGCAGAATACATTTTGGCCTAAATTTATGCCGAAATTTGATAATTTAAATTTAAGTCAAAAATATAATTTTTATCTCAAAATTGTCGTTTTTTTTTTGTTTATAGCACAAAAAATAAAAAATGCAGAGGCTATCACATACCACTGAAAGAAAGCTCCATTTTGGGAAAAATAGGACTTAAATTTTATTTGGGTTCATGACCACGCAATTATCAGTTAAAGTAACGCATTCTTAATATATGTTCATTATCTTATATTTTATTTTTTCATTACAGGTTATCCCACAATGATCAACAACAGCCAAACGTGTGGTGTGAATGAAGATACTGCATATATCACTCTAACTGTACTCTACAGTACAGTTCTTGTCGGTGGAACAATCGGTATCATTATAATGACTATTCTGTTACATAGAACAAATACCCGCTCTTTGACCACCACTGCAGTCATTAATCTCTTAGTGGTCCATGGCATCTTTCTTCTCACAGTTCCATTTCGGATCACCTATTACGTCAAAAGAAAGTGGTCTTTTGGATTTCCATTCTGCAAGATAATAAGTGTCTCGATACACATTCACATATACCTTGCCTTTATATTTTATGTGGCTATGCTAATCATCAGGTACATTAGCTACTTCAAACAAAAGGATAAAATCGAGTTCTACAGGAAACTCCACTCGGTTGTGGCTAGTGCAGCAGTATGGATTATCATAATACTAGTTATGTTTCCTTTAGTCTATTTACAGTATGGTAACGGTGAAGACAACAAGTTCACAGAAAAATGTTTTCATTTCCATAAAGCTATCAATAAGCCATATGTGAGAGGCTTGAACTACTTTGTGGTTGTGGTCATTGTTGGCATCGTATGTCTTCTCCTGGCTGTACAAATTTTCATTATTGTAAAGATAGTTAAGAAACTGAAGAAATCTGCTCTAGATCATCAAGAGTTCTGGGCTCAGTTAAAAAGTTTGTTTTTTATTTTAGTCATGGTCATCTGCTTCTTTCCTTATCACATGTTTCGGTTCTACTACATACAATATAAAGAAGAATGCTACTATTACAATGAGATCTTCCTCGGTATTACAGCTCTCAGCTGTGTGGATCTTCTGTCATTTGCAGGACAGACTTATTTTCAGAAAGTGCTTAAACACATGACATGCACCTTAAGATGTACATATTGATCACTTAATCAGAAAATTGCTCTGTTCAGATTGTCGGTCATTTGCGGTGGAAACTTGTTTTCTGGAGGTGTTCCAAAACATGACCTCTTCTTACCATCAGAAAATCTACAGACTGTTTGGTGACTAGTTGCAGTTGTCACCTGATAAAAAAAAATGGTCAAACACCGTAAATATGCATTTTTTAAAAATCTTTTTAAGAAAAACATATTTAAGAATGATAAATTACGTAAATTATTTAATGTATTGTAAACATGCTCAATGGGATGAACCATTTCTATTACTGTACACAGAACAGATTTTAAAGCAGAAACCCAAAGATAATACATGCACTCAGACTCTGAATTGTCTAATATGAAGGCAAACATGTATTTTTTTACACTAGCAAAAGTGTTTATTTATGAATCTAAATTTCTGAGGTTTTTTGCAGGATGCGGATTGTATAATTTTGTGCAAATGGATTGCTTCTATAAGTTCATTTTTATTCCCTGTATATATGAGTTCTGGAATAAATGCTACATGTGATTCAGTACCCCATAAATGCTTAATTTACAAATTAACTGGTTCCCGCCTGGCCTATGACACAAAGGCGGCCGGCAAAACAGCTCGTCCCTCTGGGAGGATGCCATATAGTGTCCACCTGGACTCACCCCCCAAAGCGTGCCCCCGGCAGCGTGCAGTGCACCGGTCTCTCATCACTTGTGTCCCATGGACACAGCGCATCCCTGATGAGGGTAAACTCCAATGAAATTGGCTGTTTACCCTGCGATCGGGTGTGTCCTATCAAAGCCGATCACAAGTATAAACAAATAGCGGTAACTTGCTGGGGAACAGTGAGTTCCAGCTATCAGTATTGTGCACCACACTGCCGATTGCCTTTACATTCCCCTGATTGCCTGTCACAGCTGCCCATCAGTGTACCTGTCACAGCTGCCCATAAGTGTACCTGTCACAGCTGCCCATCAACCTACCTGTTGCCATCCCATCAACCTACCTGTCGCCAGCCTATCAACCTACCTGTCGCCAGCCTATCAACCTACCTGTCGCCAGCCCATCAGTGTACCTGTCACCAGCCCATCAGCATTCCTGGTACCTGTCGCCAGTCCATCAGCGTATCTGTCATACAGCCGACCACGTACCTGTCAGCACAGCCCATCAGTGTACCTGCCATACAGCCCATCACATACCTGTCAGCACAACCCATCAGTGTATCTGTCATACAGCCTATCATGTACCTGTCAGCGCAGCCCATCAGTGTACCTGTCAGTACAGCCCATCAATGTACCTGTGATACAGCCCATCAGTGTACCTGTCAGTCAGCCCATCAGTGTACTTGTCGTGCAGCCCGTCAGTGTACCTGTCAGTACAGCCCATCAGCATACCTGCTAGCACAGCCCATCACATACCTGCTAGCACAGCGCATCAATGTACCTGTTGAGCATACCTGTCAGCACAGCCCGTCAGTGTACCTGTCAGTACAGCCCATCATGTACCTGTCATACAGCCGACCACGTACCTGTCAGCACAGCCCATCAGTGTACCTGTCATACAGCCCATCACGTACCTGTCAGCACAACCCATCAGTGTACCTGTCATACAGCCTATCATGTACCTGTCAGCGCAGCCCATCAGTGTACCTGTCAGCACAGCCCATCAGTGTACCTATGATACAGCCCATCAGTGTACCTGTCAGTAGAGCCCATCATGTACCTGTCAGTATAGCGCATCACGTACCTGTCAGTCAGCCCATCAGTGTACTTGTCGTGCAGCCCGTCAGTGTACCTGTCAGTACAGCCCATCAGCATACCTGCTAGCACAGCCCATCACATACCTGTCAGCACAGCCCATCAGTGTACCTGTCATACAGCCTATCATGTACCTGTTAGCACAGCCCATCAGTGTACCTGTCAGTACAGCCCATCACGTACCTGTCAGTACAGCCCTTCAGTGTACTTGTCGTGCAACCCGTCAGTGTACCTGTCAGTACAGCCCATCAGCATACCTGCTAGCACAGCCCATCACATAACTGCTAGCACAGCGCATCAATGTACCTGTTGAGCGTACCTGTCAGCAGAGCCCATCAGCGTACCTGTCTAGCAGAGCCCATCAGTGTACCTGTCCAGCAGAGCCCATCAGTGTACCTGTCCATCAGAGCCCATCAGCGAACCTGTCCAGTAGAGCCCATCAGCGGACCTGTCCATCAGAGCCCATCAGCGTACCTGTCCAGCAGAGTCCATCAGTGTACCTGTCCATCAGAGCCCATCAGCGTACCTGTCCAGCAGCCCATCAGTGTACCTGTCAGCATATCCACAAGGGAAGCCTATCAGTGTACCTGTAAACGCATACACCTGTGCAGCCTGCCAGTGTACCTGTCATCAGCCTTATCAGAGTACCCATAACAGAGCCACCTTCACTGCAGCCCATCAGCAGTGTACCCATCACAGTTGCCTGACATACTGTCAAGATGTAAAAAAAAAATATTACTCTAGTGAGGAGGCTTTCCAAATCCTCAGCATGACGGATGAGAGCAGCGGGGAGCCTTCACCATCCGATTCCGATTTGGATTACGAGCCAATAGAAAGCAGTAGATCGGTGAACGAATCGGAAGAGGAAGCAGTCCCTGCTTAAAGAGTAAGATGCTCTGAAGGCCAGGCAACCATGAGCAGCGCCAATGTACCAATACCATTACACCCAAATGGTCAGTCAGCAAACGCCAATGGAGCTAGACCCCAGGATGACAGGCCCGGTACCAGCACTGGAATATCACACCAGACCCCAAGAGTCAGGGCCCACACATACCTCCCAGACGCTCTGGCTGCCTTCCAGCTCAGGATCAGCTACAATCCACCCTTTCACCGCACAACCAAGCGTGCAGCCCAACACAGAAAATTTTTCCCGAATTGATTTTTTAAATGTATTTTTCCCTTATAATTTCCTTCAATCAGTTGTAGATAAGACTAACCTATTTGCCCAACAATATATCGCAGACAACCCCAATTCTTGCTATGCCTGTCTGTTCGAGTGGAGACGGCTTACAGTAGAGGAGCTTAAATTGTTTTTGGGCCTTGCAATCAACATGGGGCTTACAAAAAAAAATGAATTACATTCATATTGGTCCACCCACCCCATCCATCACATTCCCATCTTTTCATCTGTAATGTCCAAGTCACATTATGACATGGTAATGTGCTTCCTGCATTTCAGTGATAATTCCTAGTGCCCTGCCCGAGATCAGCCAGGCTATGACAAACTGTATAAAATTCGCCCAATTAATTTTTTTTCTAAAATATTTTTTCAACTTTATGTCCCTGACCAAAATATCTGTGAGGACGAATCTCTTGTCCACTTTACTGGCCAGCTGGGATTCAAGCAATATAATCCCAGTAAAAGGGCCAGGTATGAACTGAAGCTCAACAAGCTGCGTAAAAGTGCCACAGGATATGTGCATGCCTTTCACGTACATGAAGGCAAAAACTCCCAGCTCCAGCCCCCTGGGTGCCCAACCTACATTGGCACATGTGGAAAAATTGTCTGGGACCTGGCCTTTCCACTTTTCCAAAAGGGGTATCACATCTACCTAGACAATTATTACACAAGCCTGCACCTTTTCCGCCACCTGTACCTTTAGAAAATGATGGCCTGCGGTACTGCCAGAACAAACAGGAAGGGCTTCCCACAAAATTTAGTGAACACAATTCTACAAAGAGGGGAAGTCTGAGGAACGAGGAAGTGCTGACCGTGAAGTGGAGGGATAGGAGAAATGTTTATGCCCTGTCCACTATCCATAATGACATAGAAGACAAGGTCTCATCCAAAAGCCAGAGTGTATCCACAATTATAATCAATTCATGGGGGGGGGGGGGGTGGATTTAAACGATCAGATGCTGCAGCCATCTTTATCAACAAGGAAGTCCCCCTACTGGTACAAAAAAGTTGCAATATACTTTTTCCACATGGCCATTTTTAATGCATACATCACCTATCAAAAATCAGTGGAAAGACTTATACTGTAAATTTGTAGAAGATATCATCACTGCCCTAATCTATCAGCAGGGATCTCCACCACAAACCATTTGCTCCGAATGTGTCAGCAGACTTGGATTCCCTGAGAATATTCCACCATTAGAAACAGGAAGAAGACGCCGAAAAAAATATAAGGTATGCAACAGAGGGGGAGTTAGGAGAGACACTAGTTTTCATTGTCCCCAATGTCCCTCCCAACCAGGCCTATACATCGGAGACTGCTTCAGATGTTATCACACTTTAGTAAGATATTAGTTCCCCATATTTTTAACAGCCTGCAATTTCCCCATTTTTATTATCAGTGCTGATCTTTTGCCTACTGCCTTGATTGACCATACCTCTGCCTTCCACCTTAACTGACCCTGGCCTGTTTACCGACAATTCCTCTGTCTGCCATCTGAATTACTTCTAAGCAACATTTCTGCCTTCCTCCAGAACTGATTATGGTCTGTTTATCAACTATGCTTCTGCCTGCCATCTGGATTATCAACCACTTTTATGCCTTCTTCCTGGACTGACCTCGGCCTGTTAAATCGACAATGTTTTTTGCCTGCTGCTTGGATTGCCCTTTTGCCCTGCTATTGCAGTAATGGGATTCAAGATAACACAGGGGTCTCACATATGTGAGGGGCTTCAGAATTGAGAAAAAACAGTTTTTGGTTTTCTCCGGGTTTTGTAATTCCAGGAACAGGGTCTGTTTGTCCGGAGGCTTCAAAGAGATTGGGTGGGATGAAGCCTCTACCACTGTGCCCCGCTCCTACCTGACCAAGGCCCTAAGCCTGATGTTCCTGCCTGCTGCCTGGACCAATACTTTGTGATGTTCATATCTCTGCCTGCATTGACCCAGGACTTTTTTTGGACCATGTTCTTGCCTGTTGCCTGGACCAATACTTTGGTTGTGCTGACCATATCTCCTCTTGCTACCTGTACTGACTCAAGACTTTTTCGAACCATGTTCCTGCCTGCTGCCTGGACCAATA